TCAATATTTCCAACTTTCTTAAGGAAGCACCAGACTACTTTTCAAAGTGCTTGCACCATTTCACAATTCTACCAGGAAATGTGGAGTTCCATGTTCTCTACTCACTGTTGTTTCTAGATTGAGAGTATATCACATTTCAATTTACATCTCTAAAGGCTGGCTTTGAGTTGCATTGGAGAAGAATGCTGAATATCCTATGGACTGTAAGTGTAGCCAGATTGCTGCTTAGAGGCGAGGACGAAGCTTTGTCTCCCAAACTTTGGGCATGTTGTTAGGAGGGGCTGTTCCATAGAAAGGGACATCACACTTGGAAAAGTGGAGGGTCAGAGAAAGAGAGGAAGACTCTCACTCTGATGGATTTACACAGTTACTGCAGCCGTGGACTCAAGTATGTCAGAAATGATAAGGATGCCACAGCATAGGACAGGGTTGATGTCTGTTGTTCATAGGGTCGCTATGAGTCATACTCGAAGGCTAACAACAACAACAACAACAATAACAGAGGTTGGCAGTTTGAATCTGCCAGTCACTTTATGGGAGAATGATGGACAATCTACTTCTATAAAGATTCTATAATCTCAGAAACTAAATGGAGGATCCCTGTGAGTCAAAATCAGTTCAACAGCAATGAGTTTGGTTTGATTTTGGCATCCATGGTAACACAGCAGCCAAGAAATCAAAAGGCACATTGCATTAGGCACATCTACTGTCCCTAAAGTACCTCTTTAAAAATGCTGAAAGAGCAAGGATGTTATTTTAAAGATTAAGGTGCACCTGACTTAGCTGTGGTCTTGTATGCATGTCAGAATTGGACAATGAATAATAAAGACTGAAGAAGAATTAATGTCCTTGAATTGTGTTTGTGAAGAGTATTGAGTATTGCATGGAGTTCAAAAAGGACAAACAAATCTGTCCTGGAAAAAGTGCCACTGGGGTGCTCCTTAGAAAAAGACATCACGCTAGCAAAAGTGGAGCGTCAGCAAAAGAGAGGAAGACCCCAAATGAGTTGGATTGACACAGTGACTGCAGTCTGAAACATGAGCCTGGAAGAGATTGAGAGTGGAGCAGAATCTAGCAAGGGTCAGATCTCTTTTCATAGGGTTTCAATGAGTTAGTGCTGACTAGACAACACTTAATAACAGCATATGATCTCAAGCATTTCTTCATTTTTTCGCTCGTCATTTGTATGTCTTCTTTGCTTTGAATTTCAGGAAAAATCTTGGAAGTGTTCTTTTTACAGTGAATGCTATGCCACTCCTCCTTTCATTCCTGGCATAATAAACCCTTACTTAACAGATTAAAAATGGCCAGAATCAATCTATTTCAGCTCACTGAGAAAACAAGGACCACAAATCAAAAGACCCCAGAACCACAAAGTAGCTCATTGCTGTTGAGTTAGAACAGACTCATAGCTGAGCCTCCATTGTGTTTCTGCGTGTATAAATTGCTCCAGAGATTTCTCAAGTAGAATGACTGGGAAATTTGAACTACCAGAGCAGTGTGGTTTGAGTTAGCAATGTAGCTTCCTGTGGAGAGCTTGCTGTTAGCTAGAAATTTGATTCTTACATGTTACATTTCATTCTTGACAATATGCAGTTTTCCTTGATGTGTGCTCTATATGTTTCAAGTTATTGTTATACAGTTATTGTTATTCCAGTTTATATTACAGATCTGGATTGTTGGTTTATATAATTTAATATTTTTATAAAAATTCTGTTGTATTTGTGTATTGGTCATATATCCTGCTACCTTGTCAAAATCACTTAATTCTAGTAAGTAGATAGTATTGGTTATATTATCATGCTGGTTAGGAATAAAGACAGTTTCATTTCTTTCTAACCTTAATGCCTGTGTAGATTCATATGTATGTTTATTGCTATGACTAGGCTCTCCAGCACAATAAATGTTGAATAAAAATGGTTAGAATAAACATCTTTGTTTTATTCCTGGTCCTAGGGGTAAAGTACAACATATAAAAAGTATTGATGTGTTGGCTCTGTGTTTTGTTTTGTTTTTTTATAGATGTCTTTTATGGGATTAAGAGAGTTACCTTCTTCATTTACTGGGAGTTCTTATCAGGGATGGATGTTAGATTTTGTCAGATTTTCTTGTGTCTTTCTATTGAGATGATGTGTCTTCTCATTTTAAAACTATTCATGGGGGGATTACAATTACTTATTTGCAAATGCTTTATCAATCTTTCATTTTTGGCATAAATCTTAGTTATGATCTCTTAACCTTTCTACGTATTGAGTTTGATTTACTAAGTTTTGTGTATTTGTGCTATTTTTGGTACCCTTCTTACAAGATATTTGTCTTAGTTTAGCATCAAACTAGTGCTGATCTTGAGGGAGGAATTTGGGGGGTTTTCCTTATTCTTCAATTTTTAGGAAGAATTTATTTAGAATTTGTTTTAATTTTTGTTTAAGTATTTTCGTAGGATGGCCCAGTATAGCTACCTGGATCTGGTAGTTTTTTGTTGGAAAGTTTTTGTAAAAAGAGCAAGGACCACGTGGAGATGAACATACCTGATTTTTACCAACTCCACAATAAGGAACTGTCCCTATCAACAACAGCATTAACACAAAACCCAATTCCCATGAGGTCATACATGTTCCTCACGCTCCCACACCTCTTTCTACCTATCCCGACACTGATATACTACTATACTGGGCCCAGAGTCTGATGTGATAGCTCATAGACCATGCAGAACCAAGCTAGGGAAGTCAAAAGGCTATAATTCAGGTTGGTAGCAAGATAGAATCAGTAGGGAAGCTGCTGAAATATGCTCGCAGGTGCCTCAGCTTAGACCACTATTAAAACGCTCTTAGTCCTAACAGTCATGGCTCTCTCCTGCATCCTCTAATTGTCCAGCAGATTTGGGCAATGGCTCTTAGTTCTGGTTCCTGGGGAGCTGCCCCAGCATCCTCTCAGCCTCACATCAGGTCTCTGGTTCTCTGCTGCTACTGCCATGGCTGCTGCTCCCCTAGACCCTGGTTTTACTGGCACAAGAATCTCTGGCCCGAAAGGACATGTTGCATTCTTTTGTGTCTTCTCTGCTGGTGGTGAGATTCTCAAATTCTACTGCTAGATCCACTCAATTTGATGGCAAGATTAGCCAGTCCCCTTGTGGATAGACTAACATACCCTGTTCGCATATTCTTGTCCATCCACATGGCAGAGTCAGTCAATGGCTAGTGGAGTAATTTTGAACAATCCACCCTTAACACTGCAGCTTTAAACAACAACAACAAAAATTATTACTATTTCCTTTAAAAAATTATAGAGCTGCTTAGATTATCCCTTGAGTGATTTTGATAGTTTATATCTTCCAAGGATTCTCTATCAGATTTAAATTAAAGTGACATGATTGGTGTATATGTAGGCAGTTACAGACTTTTTTGGTTCACAGGCACAGGTGGCTCTGAAGGAAAAAAGCAGTCTCCTTATGCATACTCTGCAACCTCTCAAAAGTCCACTGGCAGGTCAGCTGTGAGTCGGTTCTGACTCAGTGGCTTTGAGGGGATAATTTAATTAAAGATAGCTGATACAATATTTTCACTTTTATTTGCTTTAAGGAATTTGTGATGTTTCATTTGTTTTTCAAACCACTAGAAAAGCACCCCCTTTGGTTTTAGCAACTAAACCCCCATCAGAATAGGCCACCATTGCTCCCCTCAACTTGAACCCGGGGCCCTAAATTAAAAGTCTACCAAAGTTCTGTCCAGGTGCACTCTACTCACATCTTATGAAGATAAGGGTTTCATCCTCCTCTGATCCTGTCAGATGTTTCTTCTCCAGCTTCAAGGAGTTTCTGACATAAATAACCTCCCTGATCAGGACTCTGAATGTAAGAGGGAAATTAAGTGCAGATCTCTGGGATTTCCCCCTGTGAGCTCAGGTTGCTCTGGTCTGATAGAATGCCCTGCTTCTTCACTTCAGTTTAGGGGAATCACTGGGCTCTGGTCATCTTCCACTTTCTGCATTATGACTTGGACGTTTTCTCTAGGTGATAAACTTGAGTAGTTTTAGGGATTACCTTTACTTGTTTCCATTTTTCATGGTTTACTGTCCTTCACTGTTTTAATATGTTAAAACCACTTTTTCCTTTTACTTTGTTCAATTTTTCAGTTCTTTTAGGTTGGAGGGTAAATCTGGTTGCTGTTACTCCATCTTGATTCCAATTAGGAATTCCAGGTTTATATTTAAAAGCAATAACTTCTTAAAAATATATTTCATAAGTTAGATTTTATTGTGTTTTTTAATATTCTTCCTCCTTCAGTTACTGCCAACTGATAAAATTTAATCTTTGTTTTTATCTAATCCATTTCTTTTCCTAAAAAAATTTTATTGAGATTTTTATGAACGTTTTATAGAGAACTTGGATTTCCAGTCATTCACTGTTGCACATTTTCCTCCATGCCTCCCCCAGTTCACTTTTCTCTTTGAGAAAAGAAATGATTTCATTGTTGTGTATCTAATCCATTTCTTATTCCCGTACTAAGCTATCTGTTAAAGTAAAAAGTGACCTAACAGAAACCAAAAGAAATGGAAAAAAAACCAAACAAATCACCAAAACCAAAAACCCAATCCCTTTCTGAATTATTCACTATACATTAAAAGTAATGTTTATATGTATACTGCCATTTGGGATGAGAAGGTGGTGCAGTGATTGAAGAGTTTGATCAAAAGGTTGGCAGTTTGACCTTACATATTCACCCCCAAAATAAAGATGATACAGTTTGTTTCTGAAGACTTAGGGCCAAGGAGACCCTGTGTGCAGTTCTACTGTGAGAATCTTCTCTGTGGTACTGGATTAGGTTTGAATTCCATTGTTCTAAGGGAGATGTATAGAAATACAAGATCATTTGGTCTGGGATATGCTAAAGGAGCAAGAGACGTAGCCAGTTTTTAAGTGTTATGTTCCAGTGTGTAAATAAATATTTTCCATATTTATTTTAGTTTCTTTTCTTTGTTCCAGATAGTCAAGCAAAAGGAAGATGAGCGTCATCTGTGGCCTGCAGTCTGTTGTGAGAAACTGTCTTTCCTTTAGATTTAGTTCACTGGCCAGTTGGAGGAAATATGACACGCTAACCATAAGCTCATTGGACTGTCGTCAAGTACATGTGAACTTTGTCATGAATAAGTATCAGGGAGCAAGAGTAAAGCTGTGTGACAAGTTTACTTTTCTGCCTGGAAACTTCCGTTTCTGTAAGACTTATAATAACAAAAGAACAGGCTTCCTCGAGAGCACCAAAAGTAAGGAAATTTGGAGGATTACCTGCAAATGTTCTGCACGGAATGACTCATTCTCAAGACAGCCACTGATCAAAGAAGTTGCAGTGTTGCACCCTCCAAACGGTTTTCTCAGAAGAGAAATCAGAAGTTTCCACACTTCCCCGCGATTTCAAGCAGCTCCAGTTCCATTCTTGTTGCTTGCTCTTAAGCCTGTGCAGAAACTATTTGCAATCATTGTAGGCAGGTAAAACATTTTAAAAATTAAACTTTTGTGTTGAAAGGTTATTTTTTTAATTTTTATTTTTTATGTGTACCATCAAATCGGATCTGATTGGTACAGGAGGAGCTTGCCCCTCCTTCTCCAGCAGAGAATCTGGTGGACTTGAACCACTCCCCTCTGGGACGGCAGTGAAGCTTCTTGCCACTAGGCCACTAGAGCTTCCTATTAAAAGGTTGTTTTTAAACCTGTTGTTTTAAAAGAAAACCTGTTGGTCACCCACACTCATCTCCCATTACCAACATTTAGCTTAAAAATAGGTTGTGTATTCTACCCAATTTTGTTATACTGTAACAAAATTTTGTTTCTTTGGTTTAACAATCTTGAAAAAAGTTTTACATAGTGCTTTGTAGTATAGAAATGTGGTATTTAAAGAAAGATTCAAAGAAAATCTTATAATTACGGGGAACATCAGGAAGATTGGTTGTAACTCATGTATGAGCATATTATTTACAAACATTCTTATTTTGGAATCTCAAGCAACAAATCATGAAACTGAGGCTCTTTGGTATTTAGTTAGGAATAGACTTACTGCTGGTTACCTCTTTTTTTCTTTTTAGGTCTAACCATTTTATTCAGAGCCTGTTGGGGGGGGTGGGCGCATGTGAAAGAGGTTCAATGGTTATGGTCTGGCCAGGATCACTAACATTTCAGCAATGCAGAAAGCTCCTAGTTACCTCTTAAGTTATTAATACTACTTCCCCCCTGGCTACTTCTGAAAAAGCTATACTTTTAGTAGTCCTTTATAATAATTAATATTTTTAATCTGTGTTCTCTTACTTGATGCTGGGAGATTGAAGAAAGCTAAAGGTAATTGTTTTCTCACAAAGCTTTCTTCTGTTTGATAACTATCAAAACTCCCCTTATTCCCATACTAACTTACCCAGTTTACTTTTCATTATACTCTTTGTGATTTGGCTTTGGCATCAAGAAAATATAGATACATTAGTTTGCAATTTAAGTCTGCAGTGAATTCCTCCAAGCTTCTTGGTGTAGGAGCACTCTCCTGGCTTCTGATGGGTTCTTCTTGGCACAGAACAGCCATCGTATTCCACAGATCTTGCAGTTGGCAGCTGAGTACTGAATCGGTGTGCCGGTAGGGCCCCTTTATCTCACTTAGTTAGTTCTTTTTACCCCTTTTGTTGTTGTTAATATTGTAAGCCACTTAAAATTTCTTTTTAGAATATACTTTTCATTCATTTAAAATAACAACAACAACACTAATAAATCATAATTCATGTGAAGTTTTAAAATAGGAAATACATACTTTGGTTTGTGTCACTCCAGGTTAAAACTTTGCCTAAAAGGCTTTTTTTTTTTTTTTTTTTTGAGATGGGTCATCTAACAGAATTAAGAGGCGAAAATCCTCCATTTCCTTATTTAAAGTATTCATGCTCTTTTCACCTCGCCTTTTTCATATGCTAGAGAAGATGATGGAGTTTCTGCTAGGGAGTATCTATTTCTAATGGCAATGCTGGGTAATAGTTTCCATTGGCCCTGTTGATGTCCTGGTAAATTATGCTGGCAGTCTGAGGAGCTGTGGAAAAAGTAGTTGTTCAAGGAATAGATGGATTATAACCATCTCAAGAGTTTATTCGGGTAGTCCATTCATCCAGAATCTTCATTGCCAACATGAAGGCACACAGTTTGAATCTACCACCTGCTGAGAGGGAGAAAGATGGACATTCTCCTCCAGTGTGATTTACTGCCTCTGAAAATCTGCTGGAGGGTCAGCTATGGGTTGGTTCTGACTCAACAGTACATTAAGAGCATTTATATTTATTGAATGACAACTCTGGTGGTACAATGCATTGCATGCTGGTCTGCTAACAGAAAGGATAGGTAGGCATTCTCCTTAAAGATTTACCACCTCAGAAGTCCAGTGGAGGGTCACCATGAGTGTGTGGTTTTGGTTTTAAGTAAGTAGTGGTTAAGTGCTCAAACTCTGTAATGAGATTACCTTCTTTGCCTTTTCTTGACTGTGCAATCTTGGATAGATTTGCTTAACTTCTTTATATCCCGTTTACCTCATTTGTAGTAGGGTTATTATGAGGATTAAATGAATTGACATGTGTATAACAATTAGAAAATTACTTATAGTCACTAAATGTGAACTGATGGTAGTTGCAGTAGTTGTAAAGTAGTTGAGGATGAAAATTCAGATGAATATTAAAATGTTAAACTATACCACTATGTTGTTGGTGAGTTTTTCATAATTTAGCTAAGATGTTTATACAGAAAATGCCATTTATACAGGGAAATAGAGAAATTCAATATGTTTGATGACAAAATTCTAACCTAAGCATGTGGGTTTTGGTGACAATACAGTTATAAGAACTATGTATTTTCTCTTTGCTCTAGGGGCATAAGGAAATGGTGGCAGGCGCTTCCTCCTAACAAGAAGCAACTCTTTAAAGAAAGTGTGAGGAAGAATAAATGGAAGTTATTCCTTGGTTTGAGTAGTTTTGGATTGCTATTCATACTCTTTTATTTTTCTCACCTGGAGGTGAGCCCAATCACGGGAAGAAGCAAACTGCTGTTACTGGACAAGGAATATTTCAAGATTTTATCAGATCTTGAATATGAAACAGTAAGTAGTAAGAACTATTTTTTTATTTAGATTGCCTATTATAAGACTCAACACAGGGACTTTTTTCCACCTAAAAGATGTACTGTGTTTTCATTTATATCTTTAGCAATTTTTTCCCTAGCGCTTTCTTTCATACTTAGTGTTCCCCCTGCCTATAATTCTTTTCTTTCCATTCATCCCTCTAACTCCTGAATGTCACATCACTTTGAGTGTCACTTTCTCAGTGTCCCTTCCTTGATTTCCTAGACTGGGTTAACCAGGACTGTGACATTAGGCTCTTATGGGCATTCTTCAGACAGTCTTATTGTTGAGTCAGTTAATCATTAGTTGTGCCCAGTGCTTGGGTATACAGGGGTTAGGTCTCTTTCTTATATATCCTATTTGCATTCTCTATTTTCCCCTCTAAAGTACCATAATTATTTGTGTAATTATTATTTGCTAGTCTGCCTTCATTGTTAAACTAAGCTCTGTGGGAGGAGACCTTGTGCATTTTACCTATTTAAGTACTAGCACAATGCACATGTGAAAAAACACTTGCCATTCAATCAATCCCACTTGATGGTGACCCTTTGTGTCCCATAATACCAGGCCTTTCCTTAGAGATGCCTCTGAATACTACATATTTGTTGAACAATTAGAGCTGTCCTTTGACTTTTATACATTGAAAATAATGTGAAATAAATACTTTTCCCCCTTCTTCCAGAATCAATTTTCATAATTGATTATACTTTTTTAATATAAAATAAAATTGAGTTCAAAAGCCCAAATTCCTTAGAGTTAAAACAAACTGTTGGCTAACTTTGGGCATGTTGCTAGGAGAAGCTGTTCCTTGGAGATGGATACCATGCTTGATAAGGTGTAGGGATGGAAGAGAGAATGACTCTCAACCTGGTAGATTGACACAGTGATAGCAGTAACGGGCTTGAGTGTCTCAGAGATTGTGAGGTTCGCACAGAATATGACAGGGTTCAGATTTATTGTTTGTAGGGTTGCTATGAATCATACTTGACTCGATGACACCTAATAATAATAATAATAATAAAAAGAAGAAAATGATGGCTAAATGTTATGTCATCCAAGAAGAGTGCAAACGTTCATTATAAAGACAGAAGAGGAAGAAAAGACCAAAATGGATGTCAGAAGAAACTCTGAATATTGCCCTGGAGCGCAGAAAAGCTAAAGCACAAGGAAGAATTCAAGATACTAAAGAGCTGAATAGAAGATTTCAAAAGGCAGCACAGGATAACAAAGTAAAATATTACAATGAAATGTGCAAGGAGTTGGAGTCAGAAAATCAAAAGGGTTGAACTCGCTCAGCATTTCTTAAGCACAAGGAACTGAAGAACAAATTAAAACCTTGAGTTGCTGTAATCAAGGATGCTTTAGGCAGAATATTAAATGATCCAGGAAGTATTAAAAGAAGATGGAAAGAATATACTGAGTCACTGTATCAAAAGAAATTGGCAGACACAGAAGAATTTCATGAAACAACATATAGATAAGAGCCTATGGTGATGAAGGAAGAAATTCAAGCTGCTTTGAAGAAAATAGCAAAAAATAAGGCCCCAGGAATAGATGGAAACCAAGTGATGTATTTCAGCTAACAAATGCTGCCCTGGACTTGCTCACCAAATTGTGTCAAGAAATCTGGAGAACAACCACTTGGCCAACTGACTGGAAGAGATCTATATTTGTTCCCATTCCAAAGAAAGGTGACCCAATAGAGTGTGGAAACTATAGAACAATATCATTGATCTCACATGCGAGCAAGATTCTGCTGAAGATTATCCAAAAACAACTGGAACAGCACATTGGCAGAGAACTGCCAGAAGTCCAGGCTGGGTTTAGAAGGGGTCGTGGTACTAGGGATATTGAAGCTAATGTTAAATGGATCTTGGCTGAAAGCAGGGAGTACTAGAGGAATGTCTATCTGTGCTTCATTGATTATGCAAAGGCGTTTGACTGTGTGGATCATAACAAACTGTGGCTGACCCTGAGAAGAATGGGAATCCCAGAACACTTGATCGTGCTAATGCGAAACCTATACTTGGACCAAGAGGCAGTCGTCAGAACAGAGCAAGGAAACACTGCACGGTTCAAAATTGGGAAGGTCATACGCCAGGGATGTGTCCTGTCTCCATACCTTTTCAACCTGTATGCAGAACAGATTATCTGGGAGGCTGGGCTCTGTGAGGAGAAATGTGGCATCAGTATTGGTGGAAGATCTATCAACAATCTGCGTTATGCAGATGACACAATCCTGCTTGCTGAAACTGAGGAAGACCTGATGTGCTTGCTATGGATTGAGGCTCAATGTCAAGAAGACAAAGATTCTCACCACTGGACTGATTGGCAGCATCAGGATGGATGGTGAAGAGATTGAGATTGTTTACAGCTTTAGTTTTCTTGGCTCCACAATCAACACTCTTGACACCAGCAGCCAGGAAATTAAAAGACGTATTGCCATGGAAGTCTGCTGTTAGGGGCCTCTCTAAAGTACTCAAGAGCAATGATGTGTCTCTGGAGACTAAGGTGCATTTGGTACAGGCCATGGTCTTTGCAATCACTTGTTATGTGTCAGAGAGCTGGACAATGACCAGGGGGCATAGAAGAATTGCTGCTTTTGAGCTGTGGTGTTGGAGAAGAGTGCTGAGAGTGCCGTGGACTGCTAAGAAAACAAACAGATTCATCCTGGAGAGGGTTAAACCGGGCTGCTCCTTAGAGGCAAGGATTCTGAGGCTTCGTCTGACATACTTTGGTCATGTTGTAAGGAGGGACCGGTCCTTGGAGAGGGACATCATGCTTGGGAGGGTGGAGGGCAGGCGCAGCAGGGGAAGGCCCTCTGGGAGATGGATTGATTCGGTGACTGGGACAGTCGGGATGAGTGTGTTGGAGACAGTGAGATTGGCACAGGACAGAGCAGAGTTTAGAGCTGTTGTACATAGGTTCGCTATGAGTCGCAAGCGACTCGACACGCAACAACAAGACCAACAACAACAACAACAAATGTTATGTACCAATAGTTCTTGAGAACGGAACCTGTAGTTTTGTCTCTAATGTACAGCACAGATATGATATGTGTTGAATTAATATTTGTTGATCTTACATCTCAGTGTCACTTGGAAGCTTTGGCATGATTATATACATCTTTTCATTTCACATGAAAAGTTATCATTAAAAAGTTAGTTTCCACTAAAGAGATGATTTTTATGAAGAACATTCTACTCCAGTGGAATCTAAAGAGATTTGGAATGTAGTCTAGTTAGAAGAAAGTTTGAGGAAAATAATTTATGACAGGAGTCCAGAACGAAAGCTGCATAGTGTAGTGAACCTGGGGGGAGGGATTGTATAACAATGAAAGAATTTTTATTTTACTTTTCGAAGAGACGAGTGAAGGGGGGATTTGGTGGTGATAGATGGGCAGGGAGAAAAGTGCAACAATGAATGAATGGAAATCTAAAGTCTCTGTAAATTTTCATTTTAATTATTGATAATAATAATAATAAAAAAGTTGGGAGTGAAAGAAAATAATTTGGAACGATTAAGTTAACCCTGATGTTAAATTTTTCTATCTCCTACCACTCATTGCTAAAGAACTTAACATTGTGTATAAATATATATGTATGTGTAGGGTGTATATATTACTTTGGTGACATTATTTGTATTGAGTTGAGAGTTTTGCTGCTCACTCAGAAGCTGTTGTATTGAATCCACCAGGGGTTCCAGGTGAGAAAGATGGACAGTTTTCTCCAAGAGTGATTTATAGCTCTGGAAACCTGGTAGAAGGTTGCTAATATATGTTTATGTGTACACGAATAAATGGATAATATGTCTTTTTTGCCGTAGAACTGTATAAAACCTCCTAATATGATCTTATGGGGATATTAGAAAATACTGTTGTTGTATAACTCTGTCTTACATGCTTCAGGAGAGTTAATTATTGTTGTTATTATGTGCCATTGAGTCCAACCTATAGCTGGCCCTCCAGAGGGTTTTCAGATGCAATAAATTACACAGGAGGAGATGCCCATCTTTCTCCAGCAGGGTTGCTGTAGAATTTGAACCCTGTCCCTTTGGGTTGCC